AACCATCGAGAGTTAACAATACTTACTTTTTTAACTCGTGAGGATCTTTGATCCCCTATATATTTACCCAACATTTATGTACTAAAGCGTAGAAAATTATATGAGGATTTTTTTTAAATGTATTAATAAAATAGTTAATAAGAATTTAATAAAATAGTTTTATTATTACAGTTTAAGCATAAAATAGCCCCCTTATATTAAATAAGAACATATAAAAACCGGTATTATATTTTAGTTACTTGCAGGAAAACCAAAAACCAAATAAAATTGTTAATATAAAAATAAACTAAAGTTTTTCCTTATTAAATTATGTTATGGTTTTCGCCTTCTCGACTTATGTCGACTTTAATACATACCCTGTTCTGTACCCTACAGGAAAAAAGGTACATATGCCCCTGTTGAGGAATAATTAAATTTAATTACATTATTTCAATATTGTTTAATTTTATCTTACTAATATAATAAAATTGTAACTAGACAATGTCTGTACATGGGCGATATTTAAAAGAAATTTATCTAAAGGGTCATGATAAGAGCAGTAGAAGTCAAAAGAATAGTTTTTAGAAGTTTTAGAAGTCTCCCTGTATATTTGTTCCGGTAAAAAGTACTGTACCAAATTGGATACAGATTTCTCAGTGGTATATCTCGACGCAGCGGCAAAAAGCTAATTATAAATAGACATTGTAATATAGTGTTTACCTGCATTACCTCTTATAATTTTTCCAGGTAGGTACCTAACTTGTAACTTTGATTCGTGACGGATTATATCATATTACTTCAGATTCTCCTAATGACCAAACACACGGATAAAGAAAAATAGCGACAGTTCTTAATTGCCTTCCAGGCCACGATTTCTTTCGGAAGCTCAAATTAACAGAAAACGTAGCTGCGGAATTCGTGCTTTTAATTTTATTTTATTACGTGGAGACTTTGGGAGAGAGATAAAAACAGAAGACAAGTGGCATTTTATGAAAGAATCTGAAAAAATTTTAATGATGATAAAAATTATCAGCAAATTTTCTTTTGTACCGAATTTGATTAATAAACGTTTTTTAAACATTTTCTTCTAACCATTTGTAACGTTAATTGAAGAAAGAAAGAATAAATACTGTTTCAGAAACAGATAATACACGTAATGGCAAGAAAAGGTCAATCGGATCTGTAATACAAATAAGTGAATAAAATAATAATAATAATAATAAATTTCTTATCCTGGGGCTCTGAACACCGGCCGATTGTTTTTCTGCCGGGAGTTAGTTCGTCATTTCTTATCTTAAGGAGAGATTTTTTTAAATAATAATAATTAAAGATTGTCTCACAAAAAAAAACCGACTTAAATTGTGGCAAAACCAGTTACTATGATCTAAAAATTAAACTACTAAACCGATTTTGATAAAAATTTTATGAAACTAATCTGTGAGTATATTTGTTTAGATAAAAAAATAATTTGAATATATCACATAGCGGCATACTACAGATGAGTACTATATAATCGAAAGACATACAATTAGGGCTCCATACCAAAAGGTTTTGGTATCTACCTTATCCGTCCGTCCATATGTATCAATGTTATACCTCAGCAATTAATAATGCTATCGATTTGAAATTTGGATAGTTCTACATATTATTAGCTCTCAGATATTGCAATAGAAATAACAGATTTTTATTTTCTTTGCTAGAGATCTGAAATGGATACTAAAAATTTCAAGAGCCTTATTTACATGTTTAAAGTGTGTGTGTGTTTTTTTTATTTATTTTTATGCTATTTAGTTTTTAATTATGATTGAAAATATGAGAAAATACCATTCCTTTTCTTATCTTCGAAGTTTTTGAAGCAAAGAATCTAAAATAATTACAGTTTATAAAGATATATAAATAAAGGTATAAGCTCTGTTTTAGAGAAATTATTAAAAATTCTCCAAAAGGAAAATTAGTTATACGGTCCTGTTTTTAACCATAATTATAAAATAAGAAATTACGAATTATAGTATCAATAATAATGACTATTAAGTGTTTATTTCGTAATAAAATGCAATAAAGTCAATTTTATGGCATTCATATTTATGTACGAATCCCTCGGCCAGTGAGAACATTTCGCACCTAGCCGGTTAGCGCTCTTCATTCTAAATGTACCTATATATTGTGCTAGGACCAAACTCGCAACCTTTGGGAGGTGATGAAGTAAGGTAAATCAAAATACGACGATCGTCAGATGACGTAAGTTTGAAATTCAAATTATGTACAGTTATAAGCATATTCATTTATTTATGGAAGAGTATGTGAGAGAAATACCTAAATCTTATTATTAATAAAGAACACATCGGATAATTTTTATGTTCCCCGTTCTCAGTGATGATTCATGATGTTTGAGAAACTTTAAGAGCCAGTTTTGGAGACCCTCATTCATTATACGTTACCAGAATTGGACCAGACATATTTTTATTCCTTCAGAAATTTGCTAAAATTTATCGAAGGCAAAAAATCCTTGCCAAATTATAATGATAGGAACTTTTGAATAATTCATTGATTATCCATGAGATTTTTATGGGGGTGGCATAAATAATAAAGACCAATGCTTTTGCTACAATAACAAATAAATAAATACAAACAAAATCAATAACTGATATAACAGTTTACGCTCGACTTAGTCACAACTGTGCTCATTTCTGAGTGATAAAACGAACATATCATACTTTAATAATTTTAAAAGATAAAAAATAAATTCTAGTAATAAGATATTAGTATTGTTTATACTTTATTATAATTCTGCTAAATAAAGTTATATTACAGAAATTATATTTAGGTATATTAGTGTAATTTGATAACTGTACTTACTAATAAGATTAATTTGAGGTTCTTGTGAGTTGTATAAATACAGGTGCGTATCCAATCAACGCCTTAATAAGAAACACTTGAGTTTTCAGCAACTGTCGTAACTTATGTTAAAAGCGGCAGGTAGGTACTCTACAACACGTGGAGTAAACTTGCTGTCTAAACATGTCTAGAATATTAAGGCCTTCTCAAAATGCGAGACACGTTCCCTTACAAATATTATACGTATATTATTTTCTGCTATTCTAAAGGGGTCCATAATTGTAGATAAGATTATTATGAAAAGTACTGATATTTCTAATTTGGTAATGACTGTATTGAATAGTTATCTACAATAAAAAACTGAATAAAAAAATATTAATGATTTAAACACAGAACATATTACTTCTTTTTTAAACCAACTGAAATAATTATAATGTGGTATAGATGGTATTTGATAGGTAATTATGGGTACTTAATAATTTGGGATTATATACACTTATACTAAGCCGCGTGTCTCGTTTGGCCAGGTATATGATAACCGAACATACATTTCTAGTTTCATTTATTTTATAACTCGTCTCATGTATTCATACCAATTTCAGAGATCGTTATCAGCAGTTCTATATTTTATAATAAAAAATAGCGATTATAATTAATCTTGGGTAGCATGCCGCCCCTTTGACCTGGTGCCCCGGGCAATTTCTCGAATTTCTCTCCTCCCTAGAGCCGACACTGTATGAGGCGGAGTATAATCTATGACATCTATGACATTGTTTATGTCTATGGAAGGTAGTTACCATTTCATGACAAGTGGGTCTAAGTTTGTTATTACTGTAAAGTCTGGAGTTGTAACTCAATATATCGTATTATTTCTTATTCCTATTAATGTAATATATATTAATAAAAATATTTATTTATTTTCGAAATATATAGTTACTTGTTAAATTATAAAAGCCAAATTTAAGAATTTTAAGAGAGTACCGGTAAATGGTTTAAAGGTGCTACAAAAAATTTTGAGTTTCCCTATATTTGTATAGTATAGAAGGTTTTACATATAAAATTGGAAGAAATATTAAATTTCATATGTGTGATAATTTACATATATAATAATTATATGTACATCCATATAGAATTGTTATATTAAATATTAATTAATGTCCATCACAAAGCACTATAAAATAATATAGGTATACCTATAATTACGTAAAAGATGAGAGATAGTTTTATATTAAAATTACTGAGTAAAGTAAAAGGAAATATTTTGCATTTAAAAAATGTATTTCTTGATAGGTTATTTAGGATCCTGAAAACCTATGGTGGTTTTGCATTTTCAACAGACTTCATTACGACGGTGCTTTTTATAATGGATATATATATATATATATATATATATATATATATATATATATATATATATATATATATATATATATATATATATTATATATATGCACGTCCATTCTGAACTGATTTTGTTAATTACTTTTCAAATAGGTAGAATTACTGCTGTATTTTTTATCTTACTACTTCTACTTTTTTTTTTACTGTATTCCATTTATGATAATCACTTATTCAATTTCTTAATATATCTTGACTTAATTGTTTTTAGACTTCGTTTCATTTTTAATTCAATCATCATCATCATCTTTCTGCCCGTATCCGAATTATTTGGGGTCAGCGTAGTATGTTTTTATTCATATTACCCAAGGCTGTGGCTTTTGGTTTTACGACCGGCCGCCTGTTTGGCATCGACCCTCTTTGGGAATGCATTTGTTGGCTACCCTTAAATAAATACGTTGAAAAACCACAAATTCAATAATAATACGTCTATACACACATATATTCATATATTCTGTTATATTAAGATTACTAAGGGTAGGAAGATAATGATGATGAATATTTTTATATTATTATGGATAGATGCGTATATAATTTTTCATGTAATTTTACTATAATTATTAAAGTTGAAATCGACAAAATCATAACTATAGTTGTGACTAGTGGGTACTAATTACGTTTTCTTGTTTCTCTATTTACCTTATTATGGGACTTAATGTAAAGATAGTAAATAAATGTTCATAAATCACTGCATATGACTGTCCCATAGTGAATAGTTTATTTTTATAGTATACTTACATAAAATCTTCATAAACTAATTAAAAAAAGGTTACATCGCTGGAAAAAGAAGTGACGATCAATTAGGTAATTATCTTCATTTATAAAATAGTAAAAATTAAAATAATACTACAGAAATTATCTCATTTAACTATTATTTATTCATGTTCAGATGCTATGAATCTTAGTGAAACTATGGAAATATTATGTTATGGACAGTTGATAAATTGACAGGATATATAGAGTTAGGTCATAGATATAAAATGATAAACAATAATAAAAATAATTGAATAGAAACTTAATTACGGAACACTATCACCACCATTATAATATTCGATTTTCGAAAATCCTATATTCAATAACACATATTTTTATAAATTTATACCACATTTGTACATAAATACTATCTAAGTATAACTGACATTAAAGAACAATTCATATTTTTTAATCGATTAACGAAAACGGATTAGATAGGTGTTATAAAACTTATTATATTTATATAAACAAGTTGCTGTTCATTAGTCTCGCTACAAATTAAAAACGGCTTGACTTACTTAAGTATGTTTTTTATTTGTTTGCTAATTAATTAATACAAATAGTTTGAAAGAAACAAAGTAAAAACTTAAAGTTCAGCAGAAAAATATGTAGTAAAATCAAAAATAGGTATTTTTGTATGGGAATCGCTACTTCGGATTATTTATAATAGATGGCGTTGTAGGTGATACGAAGTTCACCGGGTCATGTAGATTCATAATAAATTCGACACTATGTTGGAAGATAGTAGATAAATACAATTATTAATACGTAGATACGTATTTTCCATTTATAACATATAATGAATCGAAATCAAGAAATTATATACGAGTATAAAATGATTACACTAATATAATGTAATCACAGTAGCGAACTTATTCGAGAAAAGAGTTTGTTTTTTTTTTTGGAAATCCATAAGGAATTTGTGGTGTGATATAAAAATATTTGTATAGTTGCCTATTTCATTAGATGCAACTGAAAGGCAAAGTTCTTTTGATTAATTGTGCGGCGACATAGGCAACCGATCGATTGATCTAAATATATCGGCACGGTATTTTTATTACTTCCACATCCGCTGTGGTCAAAGCTTTTCCATTGCGAGGCCGTTCCTGCCAAGAATCACAACGTTATGATTACCTGTCAAAATCAGAAGTTGTTACTTGATTTTAAAAAAAGAATAATGATTTTCAATTGTATTTATATCTCCAGGTATGTATGTAAGTCCGAACCATTGACACAATGTACGGGTTAAATGGTTTGATAAATTTTTATAAATGGGATATTGTTAGGTTCGCATTAATTATGATCATAAAAACTTTGTAACGCTCGGGTTTTCTGTGATTTTGTCATGTCCAATAGCTGTTATGATAACACTGAGATGTTGTGGTATGAAAGGTTGTCGGAATATTAGCCACATTATTATTTTTATTTATGGGTATTTATTGTAAAATATACTGTAGGTAACAAGTTATTACTAAAACGATATCTGTTCTATTATAATGTCCAAAATAATATTCTCTAAACTAATTAAATAATACCAGTTACTTATCCAACTTTATTCAGCCGAGTAATCTAATTTAGAAGCGTTGTCTGAGTTAGTTTCCAACTGTTTAAACAGTGACTTGTAGATATTAATAAAAATAACCACTATGACAATAATATTATTTCTAATTGATTTTTTTTTGTTCCCTTATTTTTAACTTTTAATTTTTTATGGTTTATATTGTAATAGATAGGTAAGTGTGTATTAATAATACCACAAAGTATTTATCATATTTCATATTAGTTTATTTGTGTTCTATAATATAATAATAGATGTCAGTATATAGAATATTATTACAGAAATAACATTCTATAACTTAAGTCATGTTATGTTATGGTTAACACCAATTACAAACCACATAAACTGGAGTGACAGCAGAAGGCACGTGTCATGTTGGATTCTAATATGCTCGATTAAATGCGAATATGTCAAGTGTTAAATTCATCACAACGGTAACAGTCAACAAATACTTCTCATTAAAGATTATTACCTCATTATTGTTATAGCCGTGAGCATATTTTTTTATATAATATAATTGAAACGAAAGTGAAGGAACAAGCTCCGTAAAATTTGTCTCTCATTTTTTAAATAACATTTAATCATAATCACACGGTACCTCAGATATAGGTCAAACAGATTGTCGAATTATTATGTTATTTACATGTCGACATAAAATAAAATTCTTAAATACTTTTTAAGAAATATTTTTATATTATAGCGTGCATACAAATTAGAATTTGAAAACGGTGATCTACAAGTTCGCAATATAGACAATAAGGTAAAGGATATAATACTTTGATTAATAAAGACACGAGAACAGATTTGTATTTGTCTTTTCATAAAATGTACATATTTAAAGGGTCGTTATAAAATTCAGAGATTATAAAATCCATACTTTCTGATTATTAAATCAGATTTTAAGATATAAGAAAGATAGTTAATTTTTTTTTCAATTATAATTATTTCGGCTTTGTTGATATAAATAAAAAAGCCTTATTTAGAAAATAATTAGTCATTCCTTGCATTTGATTGTTTTTTTTTTTTTTTTACAAATTAAAAATAACCTCTTCGCTAATAAACATGCCGGCCACGAATGAAGTAGGTCAACGAAATTCATATAACAAAGCTTCAAATTTTTAAGAAAATATCCGACACTGTGATAATTCGGAGCTTTACTACCAGTCGAGGGATAATTACGGAGTGTAATATTTTTCTTTACATCGAACGCTCTTTATTTTATCCCGTTCATTACATTTTTTAAACGATTCCATTGCTTTTATATTGTTGGCTTCGTTTTACTTAATAAGCTTATACTTTATAATTTACACGCGGACTCAATTCTATGAAAATTTGTTACTATTTTATCAGTAAGTCAGTAAAGAGAATTTTGAAAATATTGGCCTATTTATTTTTCAGAGAATTTCGGGATTAAAAATAAGGACATTGAATAAAAAAAAATATATGATAAAAAAAATTATAAATAAATAAATTATATCTTTTACTATTGTACCCAATATTTAAATAAAGAGCTAAAAAAACTTATGCTCATATCTCTAGAGCAAGTACGAGTCCAAAAGTTTATTATTTAAAATTACCTTAAGAAATGTACTCTTTCATATAAATTATTATTTCTTCTGGTACAATTTTAATTAAATATAAGCTACCGTCTAAGTTTCCTAGATTTTACCGAACAAACCTGGCAAATAGGCGACGAGTTTATTATTGACCTTCGTACTGCGGCCATGTTGATAGATATGTTGGTAGATAAATCTAGACACCTATCCAAATACGTGTACAATATTATAGAATTAATGGTTGGTGCAAGTGTTCCGGTTTGTAATAAATAGAAAATTTTCATTTGGTAATTTCATAATATAATACATTTATTTCAAATATAACATAAAACGGTATTAATTTAAAGATTGTAATAAATATATTTGGCTTATTTCTATGTCTTGTGTAAATTGTCATGCGTTTCATTTGACTATCCAATATGTGTCGCAACGGTGGTATGTTTTTATTGATCAGACCACAGTATTATTATACATTAAATTGACTAGTTTTGTGTAGAATAATATTTTGTGTTCAATATTATCAAAGTATCTTGATCTTTTCACTCGTTTTTATGATGAATGGTCACTCATTATATTCAGACCTAAATGACATTTACCTCATTGGTCCATGTAACCATGACTTTATTAAATAGACTATAGCATGTAAAGCATGCAATGAATATTTTTTTCAATACCTTTCATTTATGGATATTTTTTATATAGGTAACAATTATTTTTAAAATATCAATAAAATATAGATTGTTTTTTTGCATTTATGTGCGAGATTCAGTTTCATTGGTAAAAGTCTTACAGTATGCATATTTTATGTTACATAATTTGATAACGACTACATAGCTTCTATAAAGTTAGGCTTAAATTGTTTTTTTTTTTTAATTATCATAAATAAACTATAAGTACACATAGGTTTTTTAGCCTTATTCATTGTTACAAAATAAGTTCAATATAAAGAGATAAATTATGCCCCTTTAGGGTTAATAAATAAGCAATAAAAACAGCTTACTTAAGCTTTTACCCATAAAACATGATTATCGCAAAGACTAGGAGTAAAGTGCGATGAAAATCACATTTCCTTACCATAATACATTATTATTACATTTTTTATGGCTCATCGAAAGCATAAATATTGCTGGGTTTTCGTTTTATACCATAACAATATGGCTCATAAAACTAAACCCTATTTTAATTTCGATATGATCGTAGATATGTTGTTTGATATTACATATATATTACGCATATGAAAAGAATACTATGAGAATTAGAGTAGGACACAGGTAAATACATTGATATGTAAATAAATTATATAATTATCTAGCCTAACTTTATGTCTCTCATACGTTGATTTGGCTTACAATTTGGCACTTTCTTTTAAGTCTCAAACTTCAAAATGGATTTTTCTCTATACTAAAATAATATAAAATATTCTGTAAATATTAAAATATACCTACATTTAGTTCGTAGAAACATTAAGAAAATTATAACATTTCTTTAGAATATACTTTTACATAGGTACCAATTGAGAATTAAATCATCCAAAGAAAGGTAAGGTAACTTGACTCGAATTTGTTCCTATATAGAAATTCGTCTACTTAGTCGTATGCCTCGTCCATTGCGATCTCATAGCTGCCATCATTTCACTCCGATTTGGAACTTTTTCACTAGTTGTTCGAGTGATTGGTGCTGCCGGCGCGAGTAGCTCTGGTACCTTTAGGGACATCCCAGACGACGTTTGCGCCTCGGGTTGTAAATCTACTACATCTGATACACTCTCAGATGGACTCACTGGTACGATTAACCTTACACGTCCGTCTTCTGAAGTCGCAGTTAAAGTTCCATTATGAGATAGTGGCATTATAAAAGGTACGCCATCATCTGAACTAAAGGCGTCTGGAGTTGAATCTTTAGAAGTAGTAGGTTGACTGTTACTATACAAGGAATTTTCAGATTGTCCCACACTCATCGCTTGAGCTAACGTACCTAATTCATCAGTGGAGTTGCATATGTCTTTGTATACTTTGTGATTCATAAGGCTAGCGAGATCAGAATTACTGTAATGGTTTGTTAGAGGCGGTATGTTTGGAAAAGCGTTACTATTTTGGAAAAATTGTTGATTGGAACTACTGCTTGATTTTGTTTCTGCGTTGCTGTTAGAAAATCCACCCATATCTTGGAACTTTGATATTAAATAGTTCTGTATTTGCTCATTGGTCATTCCACCGAAGCTAGGTGCTGAAGTGGGGCCATTTGTTGGAGGCCTCGTAGGAGTCAAGCAGTAAGAAGCCATTGTCAGATTGTTGTTCTCAACATTTTGTGTTACTTTATTAGTATGAGCAATTAAATTAACGAGGGCATCTGTATTGAGTTGTTGTTGATTGCCATTACATGATGAATAAGCGTTGATTTTCACTGGTTCCAAAACTCCACCGTCCTCTTTCCCCTTTGTCTGAATTCGGCAGCGTCAACAAATTAAATAATTAGATTAAAACATGAACTAAATAAGCAAGTAAATTAAACTGAAACATACTAGAAGGTAATTTTCGATCGTTGACACCCCCAATTTGTATGATTAGTTCTCTTATTTGAATCTCTATAGCAATATTTTATTTGTCTATTTAAAGATACTTAACAAATTAAGTTAAATAGAACATTGTGACAAATTCTATTTTATTTATTGGGGGTGTCCATCGGCCGATGACTACTAAAATATATATATAATGTATGAGTTCTTTCATACATGGACTTTCTACTACATTTAATGACATCAGCTAATATGTGTATGAATAATTATAAGTATGTCTTGTACAAAAGAACTTTCATTGAAATTGAATGTCTTTTAAATCATGCTTTAAAAAATCCCACGATTTATTTATTAAATTTGTAATAAAAAATATATTGTTGATATACAAAACTATTTCATCTAAATACACATTAAGCACAAAAAACAAGCCAGACTTCAACATGAATGCTGTGAGGTATGATATTTTATCATTTTCTACTTAATTTAACGCATCGTTTGCGTGAAATTGTGATAAAAAGTTGAATACTAAAACAATATAAGTAATACTCTAAATTTTATATGATTTTCTTACTTATTTCTAAGTGCAGATAAAATTATATAATATTGTAATCAAAGACTTTAAGTAATCGATGCTGAAATTAAAAAGTACTTTAAGTTACGAGAATTGTTTTAGTATTCACATACAATCGATATTTTTTGAACTATGACATTAATGATGTATTAAAAATGCTTACAGACAATACACGTAAACATAAATACACATGCTTCTAATTAGTGTGAATGTAGCAAAATTTAGCATTTACGTAAGTATTTAATCACATAATATTCCTAAAATTATTGTTTAGCCCTGGTTATAATTATCATCACATCATGATCATAAAATAAATGGAAACATCAGACGTCAAAAACAAAAGGTGGTGTTATTGTTGTCTTTATCAGATTCCTGGAATTTTATCTGTAATTATAGATTTTGCGAACCTATTCTTACATCATCCACTCCTTATACAGCACTATCGTTTTACCAGGGGGGGGGGGGATTGTTACTGATGAAGACTAAAGATCCCATTGCTAGCGATATACCCAATCAGGTCGACCTCCACGTGGTTCCCCATGGAAACCATCGTATTGAATTCCATGTGTACTCAGCACAATAAGATACCTGACCTGTCTTTTCATCCTCACCCAACATCCCTCATTGGTATATACCATTAGCGCGGATAGTTACCACACCATTGTTATCCATTAAAAAGAAAAAAAAAAAAAACTTAGCACTAAAATATATTTACAATTTAAAACCGTTTACCATAGTGATCATTAATAAATTTTAAGAAAAAGGGTCTATGGTGATATGCTTTCATACCTTGCAATTTTATTGCCATATCTCACTCTTCAAACCGAAACATAGCCATGGAAGCACAGTGCAGCTGTGCAAAGCAATATGATAAGTGAGACGAAAATGCAAGAAGAATCCATACAGATGACTTTACAAAGTATCCTTACTACTTACTATCAATGCTGTGATTATCGGTATTGAATTGTCACCTATCATTATTGTGTGGATTTTTTTACATTATAGTATATATTATTTCGTGGTATTGTTTCTCTTTTAAAACGTGATGACATTTATGCTATTTATTTCCATCAAGAGTAACATAAAATTTGCTGCTAAATACAATAGCATAAAGTCGTATTTATATATATCAAGAATTTTTTTTAATCCTTTTGTATGGTAGTTCACGACATATTTTAATAAACAATCAAAGAACTTATGAGATATGAGGTTAATTGTAAACAAGTTTTAGCGTATATGAAATTGTAAATCTTTGTATATATGTTGCTTACGAACTTAGAAATCAAATATGGAATTTAAAGTTCGTAAGTAACATACATACAAATATTTACCACAATACATTACAATAGTGAACTTGCAAGTTGAATTCTAAATTCGTGTTTAATTTTGAGTAAATTAAGATTCTCTCAGATGTCGACTACAAGAACAGGTAATTTTAATTTTAGAAGTTTCTATTTATATATTTTTTAATATTGAAAATGGAAAACTAGATCCTCTTGATGGATAGTTGTAATCGTCCATTACATAGGTAGGTCACAGTATATGTTGCAATATGAATTACCATTATAGAGGACTGGCGGGCTTCATAAAGGGTCAAACGGCTTAAATCAAGTGCGCATTTATTGTCTCTGGAAGGATATATATAGAGTTTAATGTACATGAAATACCAATAGATAAGTGATCGATTAAAACTTCTTGACCGTCTACGATGTTCGTAACATCGCCATGAAATTTTAACTCGAAATAATTATAATTATAGAAATTACATTGTAAACATTTTATATTATAGAATTCGTGAATTTAATATGATATAAAGTTTAACGCGCATCGAAATTAGTTCTATAAAATAAATAATTTATAAGGGCATAAAGAAAGCTAAACTGCTGTCTAATATATCAATGTAAAACTAAAGCTCGTGGAGCAAGATCTCATAATTTGCACAGACATCTCTTAGTTTTAGTATCGGTAGGATGATTTCTAAAATTGCTAACGGGAATGGATTTCGCGTGGGCGAAACACTGACAAATGAAGTAATTGGTAATTTAATAAATGTCATTATTTCAATGTCTATCGGCCGTGTGCATCAAATTAGTATTAACTGTTAAAGCTGTCAACTGTTAAATTAGCGAAGGAAATTGTGGCGTTTCAACTTTAAATTTTGACAGTTAACTATCTCTATATTTTTTTGGATAGAGTTATATTATTTTTTAAATTAACCTCAAATATAAAAATAATTCTATTATTTGCAAATTCATAATATATTTTTAAGGATAAATAATATCTGTTACCTGTACCTAATTGTTATTATGAGTTATAATTCATTTTCTGCATAGAATTTATCTGCGTATTTTTTGATTTAATATATTAGTAAATCTTGTTCTTTTATCTGTTATTTCTTTTTTGGTTAAATTATTTGATCTGACTTTGTGGCATAAAAAAAATTGTAAATATATTTTGTGACCAATTAGGAAATTTTTTAAATGGCAAGTTGGCAGGAATGTTCGTACATATTTTATTTATCTCAATAATACTTTAATATAATACCATGCCAATTTTTATTATAAACTAGTACCTACTATAATATACCGTGGAAACATATCTTTTTTCCATATGTTGTCAGTTTTGTCGTAATAAAATTGTATTTCATTTGATAAATCAGTCGTTTCTACGTCTTTCATTCTTGCTACTCCATTAACTTTAACTTTTCAATAATGCACATAAAAGTAAGTAGGTTTGTCGGTTGTTGGTTAAATTATCGTTGATGTAACTATTAACTGTAAAAATTATTGTAGATTTGATGCATACGACTGAAATCTTTTTAACGGTAATAAAATAAAAATTAGTATTACTGTTAAAAAATCAGTTTAGTTATATTATAACTAGAGCTTTAATTCTCTAAACAATAATCGTTTTCATGATATATGCAAAATAAAATTGTACGAAACTGATTTCATTGCTTATGTAAAGACTTTTATCTGATTCTCATTTATATTTGAGACTCTATTATATGAAATCTTAATTTCCAATTTTTTTTTCCTTCAATATTTTTACTTAAATTATAATTTTGACACCATAGATGCTCATACCTATAATAAATTTTAAAATTTTGTTCATATTATAGTTTTGTGTAATTATTATAATGAAACTTATTTAAATATCTTAATTTTCGTCGAGTATACAGTAAAACGAATTTAGAAAATAGATTATGTTACATATTATGTAACATACTTGTTGTAAGAGTATTCAAAAATGGACCACTAGTATGATTGATGGTAACAAACATATCAAACATTAAAGCATAATGCCAATGTGATATTATAATAATATATGATGATTTTATTATAAATTTTAGATTATTATTATAATAACACAGAGAATTAATTTATTTCCATTGATTTATTTTCTATTTGATCATAATGTCATTTCAATAGCACGTTATCTAACGACCGGATGTTATTTTTGTCGTGCTTATTGACTTTAGCGATGCAAAAGCAGTTTAATTTTTTTTTTTTTATTATAGATATACTAAGCATTATGACTAAGTCACTTTATAAGCAACTATAATAATAAAACGTAATTTATATTAAGAAAAGTAAAATATTATCTATCAGTGTATTTAACTCCATATCGATTATTTCTGTATATGTTTTTAACAGAATGTGTATGGTTGCAGTGCTAATTTCGCTATTTATTTACGCGCATTTTAAAATTCGCCATGTATTTTATTAATCTATTAATCTCAAATAGAAAATAAAAGAATAGAAGACTATAATGAGGTGCACCATTTAGATGAAGCTTTAAGCCTGGCTTTCTTAAAACGAAAAGTAGCAGGCGCAACAGACAAATCGTACAAGCCAAAAATATTCAGATGATACCTAGCAACGAGTATAAATAATGAAAACATCCATACCTGTGGCAAAAGTGTGAGTTGCTGAGCGCTTATAGGTCGGGAGCAACCGCGCTCACGCTCCTGTAGGTGGGCTACTAGGGCGGCGATATGTTCTAATAGCTCCTTATTGTGTACGAGCAACTGATGAGTGCGGGCCTGCAATATTTACACAATTCCATAAAGATTAGAAAAATAGTAGTGAATAGTAGGGAAGGATAATTAGTTACATTATTTATTTAAGCACCTTCTACAATTAATCATATGAACTGGAGAGCACAGTTATGTTGATATCACACATCTATTTAGGGCGATTTAATAAATGAAGTGTGTAACTGAATTATTAATGAGGGCAATGTAAAATTCATGTTTACATGTTTTTTTAAAAATTCGTACAGAAGATATCAATACGCCACCAGCACTATAGCAGCCATTGAACAAACCTAAGGGCATCAGATAACTTACTGTTTGATGACTTTGGGTTTATTAAATATTTCTAAAACCAAACGTTTATAAAAGTTTGTCGTCGTTTATATCAAACAAAACCAAAATCTCAAGTAGGTGGTGGCATTGGTTAGTCATTGTATATCCGGAGATATCATGATACTGGTTGGAGTTGGTGTCCAATAAAACGTACAAGAAATTTTGCACACAATCTCATGTGATTCATCTGAATGTTGCTTTGAATATTTCAATAAACTCGAGCCTTCTTACCATAAAAACTAAAACGTACTACTTTAACTAAATGTATTTTGTTATTTTAAATTAGGAATTTTGTAAAAAAAAACAAACTGACGAAAGTTTCTCATTATTGAAGTAGTAAATTTCCTTTTTTTTCATCTTATCAGTCATGGTAATGATAGTTACTTTTAATTCATTATCATTTTTCATTATCATGACGATTTCTTCTGATCACAGAAATGTGAAATTCCCTGGTACTGTAACATTTGCTACTATTTACTATTGAAAATTATGTTTTTTATTATCAGTGTGTATATCTTTTTTTGCTCGTTCTTTACAGGTCAGTTGGCTGCCATGAAGAACTGTTAGGGTTTCGTTTTACTATTAACCTAGCGCCGCCAACGACTCGCGATTATTACATATGGACGCAGCAACTACTTGTGTGCCTATATATTTTCACACTAAGTGTTACTTGTAATTATAATTATGAAAGCAGGTAAAAGGTGCTAAATACGAGTCTACATCTCACCTGAGCCTCACACCGCGCGGCCTGTTCAGCAGCGAGTTGATCCCGTAATAACAAAAGCTGAGCGACCGCAGCGCGCGTTTGTTGTGCCTGTTGCTCGAGTCGTTCTCGTAGCAGTTGCAACTGGTGCTGAGCGCTGAGCGAAGTCGTACTTTCCGTGCTCTCTGCACTTCCAGTGAGCTCTACTTTGGTCACACACTCTGGAAGATCCGGTAGGTTGATACTCGGTGCTGGTGTCATGCGCTGTAACAAAAAATATTACAAGGTTACATTTATGTTACATTTACATATTTGAAAAGCCTTCAAATATTTAAAAACGTGAAAGTCCTTAGATAAAAAAGTCGACTATTGAAATGTTGATTTTTGGATACTATTCGTAATTGTACGAAATTTAATATAAAAACATATGCTTTGTATATTAGGTACATACAATGAGAAAGTAATTTTAATTACTTCCTGTTTGTTTCAAAAGATTAGTATTGTCCGCAAGGCTTTAAATTTTTTCCACTGAAAACTGCTGAAGCACGCCCGTCTGTGATTCTTTTTCCCCAGAGCGAGGGTAATGAAATGAAAACAATAAAAGTCGACCACGTGGAAACACTCTCGCGAAGGGTCCTGTATAGTAAAATTATTTTTAGTGTGAAATACTTTTTACAATGAGTTTGAATAACTCTTTAGTATAAGTGAAAGAGACAAAATCAGAGAAAATTCGAATATAAAATATTTTCTTGTTAGATAATATCTACCATATTTATTTTATACTAGTCTTAAGCCGTGATTTTGTCTGCGTAATCGGGACATATTAATTGACTGCAATAAAAAGTCTTCTATATACTAATTAACCTATGTTCTATTCCGTTCTAAATAGTACATATATGGAACATTTCGATTAATTATGCTGTTAACACTCGAATCGCAGACCGTTTATTGTGACCGGTGTTTTAAATTCATTACTTAATATCTCCGAAATTTTTTGTTATAGAGAGCTAAGTTTTTGTGACTTTTCATTTACAATTTTTTACTGTTTGATGCGGAAAAATTACAATTAAAAAAATATTATCACTTTGTGGTTTGTATACCTAGAACTGCGGAAAGAAAATTCGAAGGTATTAAATAATGAATTTAAAACATCGGCTACAATGACCGATCTGTGATTCGAGTATTAAAGCACCAATAAGTAACAAGGAAACAAGCAAACAAACCTATTTTCATATTTATATAATTAGTAAGGATTATTATCTTGTAGTGTCCGTGTAGTTCCGGCATAGAATAAGACACCCCTTCCTTTTCCATAGGAATGGTAAGATGCTACAAAGGAAGGGCGAGAGATGGGCAGCAGCGCCCCTGTTAAAACATCTCTAAAGCCTAACTGCGGTTGTCAATCCGTATGTCAAGTGTGGCAACTACTAGCAAACCCCCCAAGGAAGAGGCTTATGTTTAACAGTGAACCATTAAGGGCTGATATATAGATGATGATTATCTTGTAGGTTGTAAGTATCAAAATAAGGCAAGCTTGTGCCATTGGCACCTAACAAAGTAAGAGAAATACTTAAATATAGATTTTTTTTATAAATATTTACATATCATACATAAAAAAAACAGTAGTTTTTGTCTTCATATTTATCTCTAGCTCTTTTAGCATGGTACATTTTTTTGTATTAATATATCATATGAAATTTATTCACTTATAACTATAGATTTCATCCGATTTCTCCTAAGAACTTCTATGAATACTGCAACAGCTTACAATGAGCTTAACTGATAGATATTTACCATGAAGGTAATATTTTATCATTTTCTTCAATTTAAATTTAAATTTGTTTCTTACACGAAATCCTGCAAAGCTACATTTCAGAATGCTGTCAGTTACTCGGTACACATGTGTAATATTTTTACAAAAGAAATATGAAATAACTATAAAAATAAGAAGTAACTAACAAATATTCTATTCGTATCCGCTTGGGCAATATATTTGATATTTAGTACACGGCAATAAAATATCGATTGTATCTCGTAACCTACAAATACAGTTTCGTTTATAGTTAGCAAGAATATCAGGTAGATTGAAAACGTAGTAAAACTAACTCAGTCACTACAATTCTTTGATATTTCTATTACATTTAAATTCTTGAGAGTGTTATGACTCAGTGGTGTACAAGCCTATCATAGACTGACAAAGGTAATTAAGTTAAATTTTTAAACACGTCAAATTATTGTAAGAAAATTTTCAAATCTGTTATGACTCAATCCGGAATATTTTTATTCAATTAAGCGTACACAACTGAATGGATTTAAATGAAAATTATACATTGTGGACTACTTCATAAATAAATGCTGTATTGTACGACATTTGTATTCAAATTTCAATGAAATAAATGTTAATTTAATAAAAAGGTAACCTAGCTACATAGCTCGCAGTCTATTATTTTTTACAAAAAAATTTTTAAACAAAGCCTGCAAATATGTCGACTTCTTTTATTTCTATAATTCATAGTATATAAGCACAGGAAATACGAATATTACTGGACGGAGTAATATTCACGATTTTTTTACCTAAGTTCTCTAAAGTATGACCTAGGCGTATATTTATACATATGACATTTTTTATTAATTTTTTTTTTATTTGTAAGGTAATATATTATTAATAATAATAAAATCATTTATTTAGTTACGAAACATAACAATATTAACGACAACTTTATACATTAAACTAATAATTATTTGGTAGCTGAAATGGTCTCCAATCAGCTTAAGCTGCAGCGTGGCGCTACAGCGCTAATTTTTAGTGGGGCCACCAGTCAAAGACACACACTACATTACTTGTTTGCCTACAAATAAATAAATAATTATACAAGCAGTTGTTATTTAGATTTGTGTAGATTGAACTCTAAAAAGATTTAGATATGTACTTACCTACTTTTTTCGAATATTTCACAATAACGCACAAATACCCTTTCTACGTACGTAGAAAACATTTCTTAGGTCTCCTTTTTAGTGAGGTAAAGCTTTGTAAATTCTTATTACTGAAAACATTTTCACAATTTAGAAAATCGTTTACAAGAAAGGTTTTATTAGTTTTTGGGAGTCGAATGGCCTAAAACTATAAAAAGAGATTGTGAGTGATGTGGTTCCGTAACAATTTATTTTTATGTATCGTCATAGAACTGACCCCGAAAGCTTAGATGAGATCATTGAAAAAGAGATTCAATTTTGTGTACTACCTGTACTGTACCTGTACTACCTGTATTATAGTATCAATTTTATATTATACCTGTGCATTATATATTTTACAAAATAAACTGATAAGAAAGCGATAAAGAAGTTTAAAGAGTAATATTTGTATAGTCAGCTTAGGTATATTGAAACTTGATGTTATTTTTCACAAAACACGTATGTTCACGTTTTCTGAAATGCCAATAATGGGAAAAAGTAGTTCCTTAAATTCTAACTTTCTGTTTACAAACCAGACAAATATGTATTTATATATGTATTTATACAGTATGTTTACTTGTATAAAATATGCACCGATGTACGATTGCGATCAAAACGAAAAAAAAAATATACAAATCTTTTTACTCTGCAAGAGTGAAGGAAAAGTAGGCGGAAAGCTAGACTATACAATAACAACAAAAATATAACAAGTTTATGTGTTTTTTTTAATCTTTACCTTCAAAATGGTTTTTCTAATTGTAAATTGATTGTTTTTCATCGGACATGATTTTTTATCTTTCCTATATGAAAGATGTTTTTATTTCAAAACCACTGAATTTATATAATACATGACACTCATATAGGTTGCATTTTGAGTCTGAAAGAATTCCGTAGTCTAGTATATTCGAGAAACAAATCAGGGATGGAATCTAATTCTACAATCTGGGCTTTCGTTTGAATCTATTACTGTTACTAGACATAGTTTATTATAGAAAATACCTATACTTGGTTGAACTTGGACTACATTTGATTTCTACAAATAGAACTACTTTTATTTCTAACCGAAAACTCTATCAATAGAGGAATGATATATGATTCTTGAACAAGTAAGTGCACTTTGATTTAGATTTTTTTCACAACACTTTACACTCTGAAAAGAACTGTAACTAAAATCATCATATAATTAAAGAGACCCTATTAATTCCCAATGATTGGAAAAGGAATTGTGAAAATCAGCTCAGATTGACGATGTAATAATATTCAAATAAATTAATAACCCCCTTTTTTTGAACAGTTAAAACATTATTTTGATATTATAGTAGTTCTTAGATATATCACTTAAAATAACTTTATATTATTTACGTCTTATTTAATTTACACATTCAATATATTGCTTAGTGGATGCAGGCGACTCAGGACCGTTTTTTATGGCAATTTATGGAGGAAACCTATGTTCATTAGAGAACAGATAATGGTTGATATGATGATGACGGTGATGAATAACATGCGTTAAATTCATTCAATATCAAATACGTCATATTTTTTCTTTTATAAATATATTACTTAACTAACTACATTAAATGGGCATTTTAGACGCTGTCTATAATATAGTCAACAATGTCGTTATTGCTATTGCTCATTAAAATATATGAAAATGCGCTCAAGTCATTTGCATATTTTGTACAAAGAGCTATTCTAAAGGTCTACTCGTATTATTAGCACGTTACTTTTACTTTATATAAAAGTATTTTGTAAAAACCGGAGTACTAAGTTTAGTGAACAAAACTCAATACCCTGGTCATTTAAAGTACTGACTATATTATTAATTACCTGCTATGTAATTTATTTATTTATAATAACATTATTGACCCCTCTAGTACATAATGAAATTGATGTAATTTAGTTTTAAAAATGATGTAATAAAAATTATTAATTATTTAATGAAAACATATTTATTTTACAAAATTTCATTCTATAAATGAGTATACAGAATGTATTTTGAATAAAGACGTACTGTATGTGACATTATATTGTACTATTAAATATTCCTAAAATCACCCTGTAAACAAGTAGCAATAATAAACAACCATTAGCAGCCATTAGATTTATAAGTACAGCATGACAGCAATAGATTTACTAAATACCTATTTTTTGTCTTATCGTGTTCCCTCCAGAGTAATCGGTAATTTTTTTTTCAGATACAAATGTTTATTTACTTTTGTTGTTTACTTATTTATAACATATACTTAGGATGCCTTACCTCGTAGCCAAGAAGGATTACATTTTGTCATAGTAATAATTTTGTCACATAT